GGGGGGGGGGGGGGGGGGGGAGATAAGAGGGTGTGAGGACTAAACTGCACACAAGCTGACCAGACTCTTGTTTTGCTCGTCTCAAATGCTTTAATTCATGCTAAGATTAACAGTAGTTTTAGTTAAAATATTGTTAAGAACAGTGTGGAAGTGTTCACAAACGTTTAATTCTGTAATCATCTTAAATACTATTTCACCAATACACCCAGAAGAAAACACTAGACCTAAGATGAAAAACTTAAACTTAATGCAGGATATTTAAATAATGTTCTTGTTATTTAATTACTCATGCAAAAAACTAAAAAGGGATTAAAGCAATTGCAGCATAGCGCCATCTGCTGGAATGTCAAGGCTCTTCAAGCCAGAGGTTTAATGTAACCAAAATTGGCAGTATTATTTCAGTCCCTATGATAACATGATGTTTTTCCTGAAAGGATATGTTGTTGTTGTTTAGTTTCAGATTCTGACATTATTTTTCACTTCTTTTCTCCGTTTTAGTTTTAGGTTACGATATAAGCCAGCTCCAAAACAGTGTCCCAAGCACAACACACCTAGAAGATAGTTAGGTCAGCTACTAGGTTAGCTTTGTTAACATATTCAGAGCTAAGGACAGAACACACGCAGCTCTTACCCTCTATGCTGTTAGCCTTCACACTGAATCCGTCCTCGCTGGTGATTTCGAAGCGCAGGTGTGGCTGGTTCATGTACGTCCTCTTCCTGTGTTTGGGTGCAGGTGCATCTTCTTCTGAGCTAAAACCTGTACACGTCAATAGTTATCACAAAAAGGTGTTACATTTCCAGAAAGCATATTAAGAGATAGAGAGATAGATAATGTGTGTCAAATTAAGGACAAGATCTAAAATTGCCATAACATAAAAGTGTTAGTCTCTGAATTTTTAAAACAATTAAAGATAATGTTTAGTTGCAAACCTGAATAAGGGCCCCATTCAGAGAGGTCTCCGTGGCGAGCGCCTACCCACGTGTGTGTTTTACTCTGAATGGGACTGTTGGTTTGTACAGGTGCGGGCGGAGTCTCAACCCGAGGGTGCCTGAACAGAGAGGACAAACATTTAAGTACAAAATTATATAATTAAGTACTACAACATTCCTTGAGGAAAAATGAACACATGTAAATTAAATGTAAAAAATGGGCATGATTTGGTCATCTCCAAAATAAGCCAATTTAGCAAGAAATACTAAAAGCATGCATAAGATCTTGCACATGGAGACGGGTAAACATTGATCATTAAATTCATGAAACACAACAGCAATCATTACTCCAAATATTCTTGTTTCTTTATAACACAGTTATAAGGCTCTTTTTTGAGAGATCCTTTGAGATGAACTTACCTGGAGGGTGTAGGAGGAGGAGGTGGAGCGGTAATCCTTAACTGCTCAGGCTCATGTGACATTTTTTCCTGGTCCATATCAAGGATGTCCTTCATTGATGGAGCTTTAATCCTCACACCACTCGGTCTAACGGAAGAAATCGAGAAAGATTTTGATGACTTAATGAATTATTCCTGAGACTAAAACGTTATGCGATTGATTGAAATTCTACGCCTCCAGTGTCATCAAGTTTTATTGATGCCACCATGTTTTATTTGACAGTTGAGTGTTGCAAAAACTCATGAATTATGGCGTCAAACTCTGCATCTACTGCTGGAAATGTCTTGTTCAAGCTTTTTCCTTGATGTAAAGGGGTACTGTGATTTATTCAAATTTAATTTTGCTGCATTTATCAGTAATGTGTCTTCCAAGTTATGTCCCTTTAAGAAAAGCAGCATTGTTATTTATTGTAACATTTTCAAATGTTGGTAGGTAGACGCTAACAATAAGTTCAGGCTGAAACAGAAAATCCTTTTTCTTTTTAGAATCGAATGACATTGGTAATAAGAAAATATTATCCTTTTTAATAGTTATTATCACAGGTACTAACTTAAACATGCAGAGAAGAATGGAATCTTTAAATACCTAGCTTCATTAACTTGATCCAGCTCACTTGAGGGATCCCTCAAAAAGTCCATCTTGGATTTCTTATTGGAGGGTCGTTCGGACACCGCCGACACTCTCTTGACTCTGACCTGCTGGCGTGATGACGAGGCTAGTGCTGGTTCGATTACTAAACTGCTGTGGGATTCTGAACGTGCAGCTGGTGACTGATCTGAGACCTCTGAAGCCTGAACCGGCAATGGCTTTCTGACCTTTGGCCGGCAAGATTTACTGAGGATGAGGGGTGTAGTCTTTGGCACTTCGCGGTGGGTGGCCATGGCTCTGTCGATGATAGCCTGGGCTGTGCTCGCTTCAATGCTAGAGAAACGTGCGTCAGGGATCGTCTGCTGGGCCGTCTGCTGGGCCTTCTGCAGGGCCGTCTGCAGGGTCGTCTGCAGGGTCGTCTGCAGGGCCGTCTGCAGGGTCACCGGGGTCGTGGCAGCTGCAGCGCTTTTCATAGGCATCACTCTGACGATGATTTTTCTCTCTGTGGTTGAGGTGTTGTTACTGACGGAGGGGACGATTGTGGTTGAGAGGCTGGACCGCGGCTTTATCACAACACGAGGGACCGAGCGCTGCAAAGCATTCCCGCTGTGGAGAATCTTGGCAATCTGGCTTATTTTATTGTAGGCAGGAGAATTTGTGCTGAGGGTCTGATAAGTGTTGGATCTCGGGTCTTTGATCAGGATCTGACCCTGTCGGTTGACCAACAGGACCTGAGGGGCGGGAGCCGGCGAGCTAGTCGATGCGGCTTGATTCTGAATCGCAACCTGCTGCTGACTTCCTGTCGGGTTGTCCAGGCGAATGGCGATGGTTCTTCCCTGTGTGGCAGCAGCCTGAATGGGTACGTTTAAACCATTGATCATGATCGGGGAGGTGATTGTGCGAGGAACAGTGACAACAGCGGGGGAAGCATTGTTTACAATCTGTACAGGCCGAGGTGGCAACATCATTTTGAAGGTGCGCTGCTGTGGAAGACAAGGTTTTGGCGACAAGCGATGAAGGTTTGTTGGTGGACATTTTGTCTTTATGATGATTGCTTTCATCGGCGCTGTGGGAGACTTTTTGGTTTTACGCTCCTGACCCTCAGCACGATCTGGAGAGTAGTCAAGGTCTTTCAAATCATCTTTAAACCCTTCAACAGAGTCGACCGATGAGCAGCTGTCTTCTTTGAGGCCTAATTCAATATTATTCGTGCACACAGCAGTGCTAACTTCAGTGCCAACTTCAGTGACAACTTCAGTGCCAACTTCAGTGACAACTTCAGTGCCAACTTCAGTGACAACTTCAGAAGAAGTAAAATGGCCTGTGGTGGAATCCAGAAACAGATCTGCTTGAGCTGTTGGCGTTTCAAAGCTCATGGGAACTTCTTCCTCCTGAACTGACACCTCGTCATTTTCATAACTATTTTCAAGGATATCACATGGTGGAGTACTTTCATGTACCTCAAGGTCATGGCTTGACTTTGGCATGCTGTAGATTGAATCCAGCCTCTGAAGAGTGACTGTCAGCTGCTTAGTTGGTGTATTATGTGTGCTGTGGATCTGACTCCCTCCATGTTCTATTTCTGTATGCTCCCGAGCTTCATCATCGATCGTTTCGCTTTCATCACTGTCCGACCCTCCGTCCGCTCCATCTAACTGGGAGATGGACTGCGTTGAAGTGAGCTGTGCTGAGGCGTCCGAGCTGCTAGCTGCATCACACACAACTGTGCGGGCAAATTTAAAGTAATGGCTTGAGTCTTCAACTTCAGAGTCATTATCCCGGTGGTCTTCTTGCATCTGCAAATCTTGCACTATGTTTTCCACCTCTTCCCTCCCGCCCGGTGCTACACAGTGAAGGCCAACGTTCTCAGTAAGCAGAGCCTCGTCAAAGTCAAGCTTAGCGTTCAGCATGGAGGCCACGGCTACCTCTGTGTCCGTGTCGAACACCGTGTACGGCAACTCCTGGGCCATCAGGTGGGCCACCTCCTCCTCTAGGTTACCAGGTGCTAGTGAGATCCCATTGGTCGTGGCCACTGCTGCGTCTTCTGCCTCAGACGATGCTAGGAAGTCCTGAGGAACTTCTGCAGAAATGGGTGTGGTGATTTTAAAGTTCTGCCTCCCTCTGGGGGAGTGTGTGATGGCTCCTTGCCGAGGTGACAGCCCTGCAGTAATGCTGGAGTTGGATCGGGGTGGTGAGCTCCAGACTGGTGGTGATACTGAGTTTTGTCGTGACAGAGGAGGAGACGCTGGCCCCAAATTGGATGTCCTTGGAGGGGAGCTGAACAGAGCACACCTGGATTGGATGGTGCCTCCAGAGCGGAGGGTCATCGGCACAGACGGGTCGCTGTCTGTTGGCGAGGAACTGCAGCGGCTTCTTGATGAGAGCCTGCGAGGCCGCCGCGTGTCCTCCAGGTCCCTCAGTGTCAGGATGTGATGCGATTTGGGAAGAGCGGACCCTGAAGGCATCAAACAACAAAGAGTGAAGAGAAGGCACCAGTGAGGTCTACTTCAGGAATATAGTAGGATTTTAAAATCAAAACATATTAACCAAACTATTTACCTGGAGATGGAAGAGGTCGAGATGACCCTCCTGCTGGTTTCCTGGTCTGTGTGTAACCAGGACTTTTGGACCCGGGTGTGTTGTGCTGTTTGAAGTTTGGTGATGGAGTAGCGGACTTCACTGGGCTGGTTGACGAGCTTAAACGCTCCGGGGACTCCATATCTGGCAGGGAAGAAAAAGTGTTAAACAAACAAAACCAGCGTGCAACTGGAATCATTTATCCTCTACTATTAGCATTGTACAGGAAACACTTTAGCACAACCAAAAATACAGTTAGATTCAGAACAGCAGTCAGTCTGTCATTCAATGAAGAAATGCAAAGTTCCTGCTGACCTCTGTGGTGGTTGGGGCTGTGGATTATGGTGTGATTATCTTCATTGTCCCACCGTGGATCTTGTTCCTCGCCAGGCAGAGGCGTGCTAACTTCTGTCACTTTACATGTGTACTTGCAGCGTCTGCGAGGGTCCACAGTGCTCCAGTACAGCCGGGAACATCTGGTAAAGAAAGGGAAGAAGAACACATTTACATAAATAAAGTCGTTTTGAGAACAATAATGATATAATCCAATATATCTGATTATTTTGCCAGCGAACACACGTGCAGCATGATTGTTGTGTGCGATATACAACTTGAACTTGCTGTTTTACTGACACAGATAGTAAAACAGCAAGTTCAATGGGTTAAATTGAATTGAATTTTCAGTCGGATTTGATTTTTCAAAGTTGTTTAATAGTAAATGCTTTTGAAAAATGAAATATTGCAATCAGTGCATCTCTAGTTTTTAGTCACCAACATAATGAGAGATCTACCAGTTGAATGTTGTCAATGAGCACTTACTGATAGCCGACGGGATACAGCATCCTCCCATTTGACGACAGCTCTGATAACACACCAAGTTTCTGAATCTGCAGAGAGCCTTGAAGAAAGGAGAAATGATGTGTTTTAGCACACTGAGGGCAGTCTGTCCTTTAGCAGTAATATTTCCTCTCTTTATGCAGACACAAGTGGCTCAAATCAACCGTAGACAGCATACAAGATAATCTCACCTATGGTCATGTTTATGGTTTCTGGCTCCAGGCCTGTGAGGAACTTTCTTCTGAGAGTGATCCCATCAAAGTCCACGTATACCCGCCGAGCGACTTCAAACCCCTTCCCAGACACCGTCTAAGAGACAGTGATAAACCACAAATCAATACACATCGATATATACTTGCACCTTGTGTGAGTCTGTTGATAATTCCTGTATTTTTTCTATCTATTAATATTCAATTCATAGACAGTTTTTCCAAGTCACTAATGTGCAAATATTCAGGATTATACCAATAATGGAAAATGAACACAAGTATCTCAGTATGAGTTGTTTGTATACCGACCCGTGACAAAAGCCTATATTGTCCTATCCTTACCAATCAAAAATAAATATGATAACAAATATTTTGAAATTGGCAAATCTTCGATGTTATTAATTTCCCTTTTGCTACTCTTATATTTTTGGAAACGTTTACTTTACTAATCTTGAGTAAATGAGTTTATTACAGAGTCTAAACTATTGTAATTCTACTGGTAACCTAAATAAAGTATCTGAGTTCATCTTCCATTACTGTTTAAAAACAAATGCAAGAGAAACCTGGGAGGAAATTGTGTCTATACCTTCACACTGACAAGATCTCTGTGTTTGAAGCAGAACATCTTCCTGTCCCGCTGAAACACACAGTGCTGGGCACGTGCACACATGAAGTGGAAATTACTCTGGCAGGTGGAGAGACAGCAGCCCACCGTGGCTCCTGACTGCCCACAACGATCACAGCGCTGGAGAATCAAGGACAAAAATCATGTTTTATTGACTAAAAATGATATCATAAAATGTTTCACACAGGTTTTCACTTATAAGCCAATCCTAAAACATTTAGAGCTAGAGAGACAAAATAACTATCCAGCTACAAGAAACAGTGCCTTTATTTCCAGGTAATATCTTACCAGGTGGCGCCCTCTTGAGACAGCGCTGTGCACTTGTAAAAGAGCACAGTTATCCTCATACACCTCTGCAGACCAGAGGCAGCAGTTAATGTGAGCCCACTCATTCTGTCCCAAGTACAGCAGCCGCCCTGCATCCTGTCAGGAGGGAAATACAATCATGTTGATAAATAACCAGCAGATAGAGTAGCCTCGACCAAACAATGAATCAAGGAAATAAAGTGTAAAATAGTTGCTGGTGGAAATGTTTAGTAGTTGCAGCCGCTGCACCAAAAACACATAAGGACAACCAGACTCACCCTGGGAGGATAATCTCCATTTTGTTGGCACAGGGCACACTGCCTCATATCTCCAGTGTTGGTACTATTCAGATCACCTTTTACATCTGTGAACGTACATACAAAAGAACATACTGTATCATAATGTATATATGTATATATATATCGTGTACGCTGGCGCGACTAGCTGCCGCTGCTCTCCGGTTGCCTTTTTTATTGTTTTTACGATTCTCTGTATAGCTTGCAGCAGATCACCTATCTGTGGCGAACGGGATACTGGTGGTCTCTACTCTGGGCTACTGTCAAAACGATCTAGACTGTTCAAATTTAGCGTGTTGGCGTTCTACTCACCTGAGTTACCTGGCCACTGCTACTGCTGTTCGGTGAACGTACATCTGCCCGTGCATCATGTGGATCTACAAACTCGCTGTGAGCTCTGTGCTCCTGTGGACTATCCTGTCCATAGTGATTTATCCAGCGTCATCTCTGATCCAATATATGAGCACGGAGCTCCTCCAGTTTCGATTCCTCCGGCTTGATCCCCCGCCTGTACTGCACTACTTCCCGGACATCGCCCGCCGTCCTCATCGGAGGTACACCCATCGCGGAGCCGGACGAAGTGTCCACATCGATGACTCCACTGCTATCAACTCCATCTGGTCTTCCACCCGCCGTCGACCTCGGAGAACCATCCGTAGGAAGGTGGATCTCAGCTCGTTAACTCGCCTGGCTAGGTCGGTTAACGTTGGCTTCTCCAACCAGCAGTCCGACGTCAAATTTGGCTTATTTAACATCCGCTCCCTCACTGACAAGGGATTACTTCTACAGGACCTCCTCCGTGACTGCAAGTATGACTTCCTTTGTCTAACGGAGACATGGCAATATCCTGATGATTATTCTCAGTTAAACGAGTCAATTCCCCCTGGGTTTGTTTACACCTGTCAACCCCGTCTCACCGGCAGAGGAGGCGGTCTCGCGATATTACACCGCGAGACTTGGAAGGTCTCAGCTGTCACCGTGCCAGTGTCTCGTTCATTCGAGTCCGTGGCTATACAACTAAATGGACCTACTCCAACTATTTTAGTCATTATATACCGCCCACCCAAACCTAACAAGGACTTCACTGATGAATTCACCACACTTCTCACTCACATTTGTTCACTCTCATCCAATATCATTCTGTTAGGTGATGCTAATATTCATTTGGACAAAATTAATCTTTCTCTCACTAAGGACTTCATCTCATGCCTGGACAGCTTTGGTCTTCAACAACATGTTGACTTCCCTACTCATTCGAAAGGTCATATTCTGGACATAGTCTGTTGTGCTGGTGTCACTCCCCTAAACTGTTCTGCTGTCTGTCTCCCCATCTCTGACCACATGCTCATTTCATTTAATTTAAGTCTGTCACTGTCCAAAATCAAACTGTCACGCACTATGTCCTTCCGTAATATCAAAAACATCAATGTAACCGACCTCACAACTGGTATTGACTGTTTTCCCACCATCACCCCCCCTCTCCCCCACCCCCTGTTTTCCTCCACCTGGTTGACCTGCACACTCCCCAGTCAAACGACCACTTACCACATGATAAAAACACAATTTTTTACTTGGAGTGCCCTCGAACGTCACCGAGGTCACCTCTTCTCTCACGCCCCCCGTGCGGTTTTCCCCGCCTCACTAACAACTGGTGACTCACGTCCCGGACCCAAAGGTCGTGGTCGTCATTAAACGACATTTATAACCTAAACCGACTCCTCTTCCCGTAGAAACATATACTCCTACGACCCATACCAATGTCAACAAAACCATACACTCAGGCCAAAACGCTTTCGAGAAGTCGCCTGCTGGAAGCCGAAAGTCGACTGCACTCCCCCCGACTTGGTCCCTCGTCTCACCCCCTTATTTGGTCAGGGCCCTAAACTCCCCCCGTTCACTTAATTGTCTCAGACCTCTGGTAACATATGTCCTCTTGGTGAGCAAGGNCACACACACACACACACACACACACACACACAACATCCTACACCAGAAGGTCCTCTCATGGTGGGCTTTTAGTCTTGTTTCTGTCATTGATTTTGCATAATATGTAGCTGGTCTGTTTAAATGGCTGATGTGTTCTTATAGGTGACGGGTCATAGTAATGAATAACATTAGATTTACTTTATCGACCCCAATTTGGGAGTTTTGTCCGTCACAGCAGCTGCACATGTGAAAATGAAAAACACACTATGAAGGGCAGGTAGATGTGCTCAGCGTTAACATAAACCCTCCTGTTACATTTCCAACGCAAATCTTTGAGACAAATATGTATTTATTTATTGTTTTATTACAAGGATTATTATTGTTTTGTCTTATTGTTGTAGTTTTGCAAAGGCTTCGTTGTGATGATTATTCTCAGTTAAACGAGTCAATTCCCCCTGGGTTTGTTTACACCTGTCAACCCCGTCTCACCGGCAGAGGAGGCGGTCTCGCGATATTACACCACGAGACTTGGAAGGTCTCAGCTGTCACCGTGCCAGTGTCTCGTTCATTCGAGTCCGTGGCTATACAACTAAATGGACCTACTCCAACCATCCGGTCTGCCTATTTTCATCTCAGAAACATCAACCGCCTCCGCCCCTCACTCACTCCCCACAGTGCCGCTATCCTGGTCCACTCTCTCGTCACCTCCCGCTTGGACTATTGCAATTCCCTTCTCTATGGTCTCCCCCACAAACACCTACACAAACTCCAACTGGTCCAAAACGCTGCTGCCCGTATCATCACCAGAACCCCTGTCATCAGTCACATCACCCCTGTACTACACCAACTCCACTGGCTTCCCATTAAACACAGCATTGACTACAAGATCCTCTTTCATACTTTCAAAGCCATTCATAACCTCGCCCCCCCATACCTGTCTGACCTTGTCCATGTCAACATTCCCACCCGGTCTCTTAGGTCTGCCTCCTCCATCACTCTCAAAGTTTTCCCAGCCCGTCTCTCCACCATGGGGTCAAGAGCCTTCAGCCGCTCTGCCCCTCACCTCTGGAACTCCCTCCCCCCTGATATTAGAAACATGGACACTATCACTACTTTCCAAACTCACCTCAAAACCCACCTGTTCAGGCAAGCGTATGGCTGACCTGTGCTGCAAGCTGTATGTTTTTAGTAGTTATGTTTTTAAACTGTGTTTTGCTTTTAACTATGTTTGTAAAAAAAAACTGTTTTTAACCTTGTTGTACGGCGACCTTGAGTGCCTTGAAAGGCGCCTTATAAAATAAATGCATTATTATTATTATTATTATTATATTTGTAATGCGAGAAAGCACAAATAAGTACAGATTCAAAGATATTGCATTTCGGGCCACACAATTATATTAAACATATTCTACTATATATAACTACCTTGAGTTTTATATTTGTACGTGTTCACTAATATTTAAAACGTTTCTCCTTATTATGTTATTAGACTAATTCATGATTAAGCTCTTGACTTTTCAGATACAACAGAAATATGACAAAGAAAGCTCCTTTTTGGCAATTGCATGTGAGAATCCTGTAAAGACGAGTTGGTTGTCAAAAGGTTGATAAAACATGATACAAATACAATAGTTTAAATACCATGTGAATACAGAGTGCGGTCGTGCGGTACACCGAACTGCTGTGTCGTGACTGAGGAAACCACAGACTCAGTTTTCCCCGCCTGTGGGCCCCTGGGCTCTTTGGGCTGGTATGTCCGTTCCATCCACTGCGCATAGCTGTGCTCCTTAGATGGAGGGAGGACTGCTTCAGGGAGCATGCCACTACAAAGAGAAGTGTATTTGTTATATATCAAACCAACTTGTGGGGGGGTTTTGGACTAGGTGAACATAGTCTGCAAATTCATCGATAATACAAAAAGTGATGTTAGTTGAAACCATTATATTAAGGGACTAATGTGTGTAAACTTTACTTGTTTTTTTACCTTGGTAATTCTCCAGATGACAAGTTCCACTTTTTCAGTTGGCTTGCAGGAAACCAACTGAACATCTGCTCAACGACCTGTTAGAAAATAAGAATTAAAGTGAGATCACGGGTAATGTTATGAGGTAGAGGTGTATTTTCTTGGCTATTTTTTGGGTCTAATAATTGAATGACAGCCTGTTAACCCAGAGGAATCTAGCAGTGACTTAATCTTGGTAATCTGACAGAGGAAACGGTACTAAAATAAGTACTTAGTCAAGGTTATGCTGGCTGATAGCAGGAAAGCAAATAGTAGAACATGGTATGGAAAGGATTCCCCTACACAAAGAAATGGAGAAACTAACACATATTTTAAGAACAAAAGAAGACAAATATTGAATTAAAAAGGAAAAAATCGCAACACCAACAGCCTAAGTGAATAGACATAAAGATATAAGATTGTGACGATAAGATTTGTTCCCCTCCTAGTGATGTTAATGTGGAAAAAGGAATACAAATGATTAGATTTCTAGTGGACATTTTGAAACGTTGATCTCTAAAAATAAACTAATGGCGTGAGAGATTTGTGAGGAAAGCTTACTTTGACATAGCGTTCCCCGGCCTGACTGGTGGGTCTCAGCTCCTCGGGGAGAAGCTCTTCCTCCTTCAGCGCTTTCCTCATCACAGAGACAACATCCGCATGGAAAGATTTCTGAAGGAGCAAGAAAGAGAGAAAGAAAGTCAGGGCTTCAATCATGAGGATTTAACAACAGTAGATATCCAAAAAGGAAAATGTCATTGCTACTCTCATTTATTTCTGACTGCTTTTGTACATGCACAGGAATTCAAAACAAGAAGGGCTCGTCTTGGTAAATTATCAGTAAGAATAAACTCACTATTGAGCTGTATCCGCCCACTTGAAACTTGTTTTCCATGGCTTGTAGATCACACACTGGTTGCTGTTCCCTGATAAGTTGTGTGTTGTTTGTTTCCCGACACTGAAACACAGAAACCACAGGACAATGAGAGGAATAATTCTGCCATCTGGTAGATATAAAAAAAAAAAAAACTAAAAACAATAACACACTTGCAACAACAACAAAAACTGGAGAATTTTAAAGGGAAGGAAAGCGTTACAAATGTTTGTTTATCAGTGTTAAAGTCAAGCATTAGAATCTTGGGGTATTATCTTTTAAAACAGTGCTTGTTCTGTTTAAGAAACTGGAAGACGTTACCCTGTATCATTGCGTGTGGGATTGGGTGGAAATTAAAAGATGTTGGACTTCGGTGACAAGATATATTTCCCAAATAACCTCGTGTCCAATACCTTTAAGCCCTAAACTTTGTATTTTAAGCATTTATCAAGAAGACTGTTCGCTATCGGTTGGGGAAAGAAAAATGGTTAACCTATGCCTACTACAAGCCAGGCGTTCAATTGCTTTGTGTTGGAAAAATGTTGGTTGCCCCTCCCTAGGCCACTGGTTTAACAATTTAACTTCGAGTCTGGCTCTTAAGAAACTGAATTTTACTCCATTTGGGAATTGTTTTGGGAATTTATAAAAAAAATGGGGACATTGCAGAAGCTATGGAAGGTTAGAGTGAAAAGAATAAACTACTGTGAGGAAATGTTGATTATGGTTGATCTATTTGGAGAATTGTAAGCTGTACTCTGCTCTGTTTGTGGATGTGCTTTTATTGTATTTTTGTTGAATTCTGAAATGTAATTATATTCTTGGTCTGTACTTTGAACTGATTTCTAGTAACTGCTAGGGGTGTAACGGTACACGTACCCGTACCGAAATTATTCGGTACGGGCCCTTCGGTTTGGTACACGCGTGTACCGAAGTGTACCGAACGAATATAACGTTATACGTAAAAAATTGAGAACGTGAACAACTTTTTGGAAGTAATCTCCGGTGCTTCGTCGCAGCATTCAGAGTAATTTGCTCACATTGGGTTCAACGCGTCATAGAGCGAGCAAGTCATTTCATTGGTCGAGAGGCATACTATGAGAGCTGGTCACAGGGATGCGTTCAAATGTAGTCAGTCATTTGATGAAATGGCGAACGCAGATAAAGTTGAGCATTGAAGTCTCCGGTTTGGGAACATTTTGGTTTCGCAGTTACGTACAAGGATGACGGACAAGGACAGGTGGACCGAGCCAACGCTGTTTGTCAGCATTGTTCAACGAATATTGGTTACGCGGCTGGCAATACATCAAACTTGCACACTCATTTGAAAAGGCATCACCCGAAGGTGAATATCACCGGTACCAAAAGAAAAAAGACTGAAGTGCAAACCCAACTCCCGCTAGCATTTAAGCCTCCACCACTCGCAAAAAGTTCAGACCGAGCCAAAGCTATTACAAACGCCAAATATCCTTATGTTGCCATGTTAGCAAAGCGCTACCTGGCTGTATCTGCTCCCTCTGTCCCTAGAGAGGGTGTTCTCCACAGCAGGAGACATTGTTAGTGCCAGCAGATCTGCCCTTTCGGCAAGCAATGTGGACACGTTTATTTTTCTTTAAAAAAACATGAAAATACAATGACAAGCAAGTCATAATGTCAAACTGGCTGCTTAGGTACTAGTACAGTACAGTTCAAATACAGATTATTTCAGTTCATCGAAATGCTGCACCTTAATGTTTATTTTATTATATTTTGTATTTATTTGAGTGAATATTCACAGTTTAATAATAATTAAAAACCCAAAACTAATAGTTTATGTTTTGTGAGTACTAGTACAGTAAAGTTAAAATACAGATTATTTCAGTTCATCAAAATGTTGCACCTTAATGTTTATTTTATTATATTTTGTATTTATTTGAGTGAATACATTATTCACAGTTTAATAATAATAAAAATATATATATATTTTATGTTTTGTGATATTTTTTCTTGCTGTACCGAGAAAAACGTACCGAACCGAACTGTGACCTAAAAACGAGGTACGTACCGAACCGAAATGTTTGTGAACCGTTATACCCCTAGTAACTGCACACTTTTAATTTTATCATTATTTTGTAATCTGCGGAGGTGTTTGTGTAATGTGAAAAATAGTAAAAAATACTATAAATACATGTTTAAAAAGAAAAGAAACTGTTAGACTTTTAACCTGAGCTTAATACACAAATTCGGAGAAAAATTAAGAGTGATTATGACTGAAGAAAAAAGGCAATGTCCAGTGGATAAGCTCTTACCATTTTGCACTTGAGGAGGTGCTGTGTGGTGTTGTGGGAGAGGAGGTCAGTGAGCACCTCCTCCAGCCCGTCCACCAGCCTCCCCTGCAGCTCCACCTTCAAGCTGCTGCCTTCAGTCGGCTGCCCTCTGCAGGGGGAGCAGCTGAAAAACACTTTCTCCGTTTGGCTCGACAGCATCCCAACCAGCTCATCTGCATCACAAACAGACAGAGTTAATTATTATACAGATTTATCATTAATTTCGGTTTTAAAATAAGTAAGCTGTAGTTGAAGTTAAACTAGCACTGCAACATAACATGGTGATTATCTAACTAACAAGAAATTAATTAGTGTTTGTAATATAAAACTCTGAATCATTTTTGGAATTTAATAAATAAATAAACAGAGTTACTCACCTGAAAGTCCTTCACATGTGTAATGGATCCAGTGGCTGCACTGCGAACACTGAATCATCTGTGTGTGTTGATCATTGGCGTTGTAGCACGTGTTGCAGACGGTGCAGAAATTACCTGATGGAGATACAGATCATATAATTAGTGACAACATCCATTGCTAGAGCCACACATAGAAATTCAGGTCAGCTTTCCAAACATATAGCCACTTAAAAATATGGCTGCAAATCATAAAGAAAACGCTAAAGAGGTCTTACCTTTTTTGTGGAGAGAAGAGCAGTCAGGACAAAGATCCTGCTCGTGGTTCCAGTCCAAGTCCCAGGACTTTCCAGGAGTCACGCCGCAGCTTTTACAACGAATGCATGTCATGCACACCTGCACAAAGACAACACAAAACAGCAAGCATGAGGCTATAGGAGTGATCACGATGAAGAAGCCATTTTTGTTATGGTTTATCTCTCAACATCCCTCAGACACTCCAAGACACTCCAAAACATTTCAAGGAATAGAAATATGAATATCTATTTGTATATTACCCAAGGCATGCTGCAGTTCATAGGTTTGGGGTAGGTTGGTCCCAAGCAGGAGGGGTGGTAGGAGGTTTGGCATCTCATGCACTGCAACACTGGCTAGAGGGGGGAAAACAGAAAAGTACTTTAATATGAAGTTAATAAATAGCATAAATGCTTGACTAGCACCTCATCAGCAATATGATCTATTATTCTACATATTATCCTATAGTATATTTTGCATCGAGTTGGAAAAACAGTGTTTTGATTCAGAACATAAAGTAGAAGAAATAGATATGAAAATAAAAACCAAAACAGTATAAAAAGTAATGATCGTGTTACCTAAAGACACTATTGATATACATTTCTCTTTAAAGAAATCCATAGATGGAAAAACTCCAAGAATGAATTGCCTAGTTGCATGTACAATATTTTTAATTATTCATATTGCTTGTGTGGAAGCCAATTAATTAAAATTAATTTAATACTGTTGGTTTTGTACCCACTACTAAAGGATATTACCAATATATATGTATTTACAGTATGAACTGAAGGAATATGTTGAGCAAGGAAAATAAATACATATACAGCTGTTTTAGAAAAAAGGGTTTCCTTTAAGGGCTGCAGGGTTGCATACCTTTGTGCTCTTGCTTCGACGGCCACACACGTGACAGAACTTGCAGCGCCTGCAGCACCAGTTCTCCTTGTTCTCCTCCTGGGGGCGCTCCTCGGATGAGAGGCAGAAACTGTGGAAAGGCTCACAGCAGATCTGGCAGAATATCATCTGAAGGAAGAAGGAAACAATAGTGTTATTATTGGCACTGCAGAGCACCAGAACACCTAAACAACAACCTAAAATCCAACTCCAGACATCCCGTGACTAATATTTGTTTAAGCATGGGTTTGGTTTCCCACAAAATTAAAAAAAGTCTCTCATCCAGAAATTCTTGATCCGGCCTCGTCACGTCTAACACTGATAGCTCAAGTTGTATGTATTATGATGTGCTGGAACAATAAGTTCTGGCTTTTTTTTATGTTTAAATCTCATATTTTTAGATACTAGGGACAGTGTTTCCCACACAGACTATACTTGGGCGGGCCGCTCAGGTATATTAACGGCCGCCCAAGTATATTTCGCGACCCATTTAGGTTTTCCTTTTCTTTTCTTTTCTCTTCTTTTTTTTCTTCGTCCGTGACCATGACGCCATCTGCGATCGATTAACTTGCGGACAATGATCCCTCGCTCTACGCCTCCTGTACCCAGTCCCGGACTGGCCATCGGGAGGACCGGGGGGTTTCCCGATGGCCCAGCCTGTTAAGTGGTCTGCCTCACACAGGGTGACTGGCTGTCTACATGATGCGGCCTGCCGACATGGCCACTGTCATACAGATCATAAATCAAAGCCCTTGATTGGTCTCTGTGTGTCATTCAAGCTTGGGATAACCTCAGCTCAGGTGAGGTAAAGGACTCTCTGAGTGTTTATATCAGGGGTGCCTAATACGTTGATCGCAAAGGTAGTGTGGGTAGATCGCATTGCATTTAAAAAAAAGAAAAAAAGAAAAGAGATTCATTTTTTTGATTTTTTTCTTTTTAAGTGGACCTATCATGCTATATTCGAATAAATAGTGTAGGACAATACCTATATAAGACATATTTATACTTTAAATTTTTCAAAATACCAAACAGATCATGCATTTTAGCCATTCCTCATTTCGCTCAATTTAACACTGTCTTTGCATGGGCTGATTCTGTGAGAACAGCACCATCTACAGGCCTGGCATATGTACTACAGCGTCTCCAGCGCTTTCGAACGGCAATGTCCGTGGCTGTCTCCTCCTGATTGGTGGAGTTGGCCCAATAGCCGTAGCGCCACTTCTGTGACGTCATAGAAGTGTTCAAATCTGGATCAGTCTGTATCAGATCCGTTGCAGCCCCTTTCTAAGAGATTTGGGTATGGAGGAAAAGAGAGAGGGTTGTGTTTTCTGAGTTCCCTGGAACACCGGGGACACATATTCATGTATAAAAGACGTACAAAAGTGCATTTTGCATGATAGGTCACCTTTAAGTTAGCCTATCATCCATCCTTACTATGGCATTTGCCACTTGATTGACGTACAGGTAAGCCATTCTGAGATCTCATATTTTCTAAACACGCAGTTCACCACGCATGGGCTGCAAATCACAAACGAGCTTCTTTCTTTCTTTATTTTTCAATATCCTGATAAATACTGTACCGGGGACTTTTTATTGCGATATTATCGTACCATGAATTTTTGGGATCGTTACATCCCTATTAGATACAGATACAACTTGGCATAGTCAAGGTCAGACCTTAAGAGATTAAACATGAGTGGAGGGGATCTTAAAGCCCTCATAGATTGAAGATTAAATATGAAATACTGAGCGAACCGCTATATTTCTCAGAACAGTGTTTTTATAGGTAACTATAATACCTTTGTTCTATAAGCTCTGGTAAAGAATTACCTCATGTCGTCCTTTACTGGCACACAGCAGGCAGACAGGTTGTGGGGTGGTGGGGACGGACGTGAGGACGCTCAGGCCGCCCATCAGCCACACGTTCTGGACAGCACAGTCTTCCTGGGACACACAAGGAAAGAAACAAAAAAGGAAGAGGAAAGATGATGAGTTTTTTGTTTTGTGCATTTTGAGTATCAGTTCACGAATCAATTGTATAGAAAAAAAATATCTACTTCCTATTTCCATAACCTGTCTCAGGGCCTATTTATTTATAATATCAGGATTAGGCAAGTGCAGTACAAAATATTTAGTGGTTCATCTTTTCAAGCTAGAAAAAAATGTAACTTAAAGCCAATGACAAAACAGTTTCTTTCCAATTAATTAGTTTACTAGTAATTTCAGACTCTGTTCCCTAAACAGCTCGTCATTAAGAAAAAATAATGTGAAGTTGTACACCTCATGCTATAAAATGACCCAAAATGTATGCAAAAACTCACCTTGAAGTCCACACGAATCTTGTACTTGTTCTGCAACAGGCCTTTTTGGGGAAAACCGTTGGTTAACCCAGTCAGGCTGTTCCCTGATGCACACTCTGCAGGATTCTGGGAACGAAGGACATATTGTGTGTCAGTTTTTACAGAACCGTCCTCCTCCTCCTCCTTTTGAGGCTGATCCACTGGCCTGTCCTCCCGCTCCTTTAGCTGGCCCTCCTGTAACTCTGTGTGTGGATGGACGGTCTGAGGGAGCACTTGAACAGTTTTATCTTTGTTTGCTGTGTGCGTCTCAGGCAAAACATCCGGGGGCTGCACCTCAGACTCTGGATGTTCCTGAAAAAACAACTTTGACGAAACCTCTGTCACAGCAGACTGCAGTGTGGACTGGGGTTCTTGTTGTTGTTCTTGAGATGATGGGATAATTTTGTGCAATTGCAAGGCTGATTCCGCCAGAGTCTTAGGCAAGCGGGGCAATCGTAACAAAAGGGATTTCTTTGAGGGTTCTGTTATGGGATGGGGGGATGCTGGGGAAGGTGGAGAAGCGGCATGTGTTACAGGCTGGGGAAGTTCTGGAGAGCACTGCGGTGTGGAATGTGATGAATGTGAAATAGCAGGCTGCGTCATTAGCTGGGTCAATATCGGAGGTGACTTTGCAGCACCAACATCCGGACACTGGGGGCACTGCTTTTGCAAAAACAGAGCGGACTGCGGGGTATTATCAGGCAGGCGGTGTAAGTGTATTTGTAGCTGCCGCTCCAGCTTCGGGCTTCTGGATGGGCTGGTTTCTGGTAAAGTGTCTCTGGACTCCATCGGCTCCGTGTTCTCCTGTTCCTGTGGAGGAGGGTACTGCCTAAGCCAACCAGCACGACCATAGTGCTGTGTTCCACCCATACTAGTGACATGCAGAGGTGGCGACTGGCAGCAGCCAAAGTGACAGAAAAGGAGTGCAATAACAACACTAGGCAGGAATAACAAGTAAGAAAAGGTAAAGAAGAAGCAAATGCATTCCACAGTAGAAAAGGCAAGCATTTAGGTGTGTAAGCTGTGCCATGCAAATAGGCAGACAGTACGAGAATATATGAAGTTAATTTACCTTGATCTATTTAAAAAAGACACTTGATTTATACTGTAGATTTAAACCTTCCTATGACCTCACCTGGACACGCAGATTTGAGGTTGATACCGATTTAAAAAGAGCAAGAGAAAAATAAAGTAGGATTTGGCACTGATTTTGTGCTAACAACACAAACAAAGAGAGTTCTCCAGTGTTGTAGCTTCAGTAGAGGGGTTGTCTTTGTTCCCTGTGCAATATGCAGTATGACGACAGACATTCAAAAGCTTTTTACAAACCTTAATAGAAAAAAAAGCATCCGTTAGAGCCTTCATGTATGTCTACATTTTTTAAAGTGCATGAGTGATTTCATTTATGCAGGTTATCCGAGGAAATGTAACAATTTGTGAACAAACAAATCTGCAGCCAACAAAAGCTAATTGGGTGTTTACGATGTCACCTATAAACAGCACATGTGGTTGATTTTGTGAACTTGCTACCTCTTTATTCTCGTCTTCAAAATATGGTGGCTTCCTTTGTTGCTGGTGTGTGAAGGAGGAGGAAGATGGAGTGACTGGATTGAGTCAATCATCAATGAAGAGCAGCAGGCAGTCGGCCAACATTTTTCCAATTGTGAAATGCATGAAGAGGTTTTTAGGTGCGTATGCATGGGTACATGGTACTTCGACAAAAACCAGTAAAAACCAATTAGCAAACACAGAGTGAGATTAACTCAGCAATTGAAAGCAGCGACTATGCATAATAAAAGAGACATTTCTCATGAAGAATGTCAGAAGACTTAAGCAATTAGAATCTCAAAAGGTGAAAACAAGCCAAAAGTAATGCGCAATTCTTTTAAGACAAGAGCAAGCTGTTCCTAATAAGATCGGAATGTGAATTGATGAAATCAAACTCACGAAAGCAAGCAAAGAGTCAGGCAGCACAGCCAAGATGCATTCTTTTACTTCAGCTCAAGTTAAATATATAAGATAAATATTGGGTTTATTGTAACCAATTTCAAGTGGTGCTACTTTCATTAAAAAAATATCTTATTCTGTGTGATAACATTCAGCTGATGTGGTTGGAAGTTTGTGAATTTAATGCTGACACATTAAAATATAAGGTCATTCATTTAACAAACAACCCATGCCATCGCCTTCATAGGGTTCCAGTGAAAGGTCCCGTGTGTAAGAAAATGGACTACAAAATATATATTATGTTACCAATAGTGTATAATCACCTGACACTAAACATTGCGTGCTATTTAGTCGGTTGCAATCATAATCCTGCATACTGGACCTTTAAGATACAGATTACATTTCAAAACTGGATGGTAAATAGGCAGCATTTTTATATGAGCACAGCTTGACTCACATATCATTTATAAAACATAAGGTTAAGCACATGCAAGGTGTTTAATATGAAGGAGAAACTTAAAAGTCAGAAACTGAAAATCAGCACAGTTGAATTTGAAAAGTAGATTCACTCATGCCAACAAAGATTCAATAAATACAATTGGAAACTAATGAAAGTGAGATGCAGACCTGGGCAAAGTGTTACTTGCAAATATGTATGGTCTTTTCTTAACATGATTATTCAGTCAGTTAAGTGTTTAATTTAAACCAACAACAATTTGATTGAGGAATAAATGATTATAAATACAGACTGTTTCGTTTTTTTATCTTTACATTTTTACTCCACTTATTTGGAAATGTAACATTTTTGCCCCAGGTTTGATCAGGTGGATCACCAAGGAGGGAAATCTGCTTGATGTTTTTACCTTGTTAGCTCTGGGTTTGGTCCCGGGTCCTTTGGAGAACAGCCGGCGAGGCTTCGGCATCTCAGTCGGAGGGTCGCCTGGTAGCGTTCCTCCATCTTGAGGAACGAGACCACCAAAAGAAGAAACCGATCTAAGACACAATTCTGATTCGACTGTGGTGATGTTTGGTCCTAACTTCTCATAAAGCTTAAAAACAAAACCTAAGCTTCAGTTACCTTGCTTGTTATCAGAGGCTACAGCCATCTTAACTGGCGATTTATCAGCCTTGTACTTGTCTTCTACTCCCTCCTCATCCTCAGATTCAGACTTCAGCAGGCTGCTGTAGGAGCGGGGCGTGATGTTACGTAGAGAATGTTTCCTGAGGGCAGGCGCCTTCGATGTCGATCCCTCGGCTGCGACTCTAGATTTCCAGCTCGTATCCTCACTGCCTGACACGGGGCGGAGGAAATGCCTTGCCCTGACTGAGAAAAGGGAGCCCCTTGATTCATTTTGAGCTAGATATTTTTGAGATGTTGTTGAATATTTTCAAGAAAATTACGGTAATTACAGCAACACGTTTGAAAATGTACGGATACAATTATTGCAGGCTCTTTATTACATTTGAGAATTAGAGACATACGTTTCAATGGTTTGATGACGCGATCCATCCTCGCTTTCTCAATCCGATCACACTTCCTATATCTGAGGAAGAAAAAACAGTCAAAGGTAATTATATACACGATTAAAACTGAGTAAATGCAAGTGGTAGATATGTTTGAATGTTGTTAAAAATGTGCTCCCTTTCGTTATCTGATTGATCCGAATGCTTTATTGGAATGTTTATTTATGATTCATCTACAAAAATGTGTAGATGAATCATAAATAGATGAATCATAAATAGGTTTGTTTTTAACCTAAAGGGTAAACAGTATTGTAGGCACCATTAACTGCAATATATTGGAACTTGGTAAAACCCTCTTTACTATAATAAAGAATATGTTTCCTATTTGTCTTTATAGGTGACATCAGAGTTAGATAACTAGCATTAAAATGGTTCAGTATTTAAGCATTTCTTCAAGTATGCAAAACTTGAGATCACCATATTTGAATAGTTCATATATTTGTGCTGCCATCTCTTGATAGCCTTCTGTTCCAATGTTCATAAAAGATTTGCTAAAATGTCAACAGCCCTCTCCGTGAATGTAATAACCTGATTAGTCTAACTTACACGCAACACTGCCGCTTGGTGTTGGGCCCCCCGAACTTGGGCTTATCAAGGCAGTTGGTGCACTCTGCGCAGTCCTCCTCTATCAAACAGCCCTCGCAGCATCCACAGCGCCGGGAGCGGACTCCCCCAATGGCATATTGACCCTGGGCCTTCTTCTTCTTCCTGAACATTTGGCCCCTCCCCCTCCCCCGGACCCTCCTCCTCCTCTGAATGTGATTCTGAGTGACAAACCACTGATCCCGGCCCGGATCAGGCATCTCATCGTCATCATCGGCCACATCTGCAAGCAAGAGACCGAGAGGATGGGTAAAAGAGCCACAATATACAGTTTGAATATTGAGTGCATATGTGTAGGGGCGACATCTTTGGATGCCAAATACTATTGAGTGTTGGTGAGGCATTACAGGTCTAAATGCTGTGATTGAATGTGTTACAGTATATACACATTTTCTTTTGTTGTCTGGTTTCTAAAAGGTACTCATTGCTAAAGTGTTGGAATAAGAAAGAGTCACTTTAGAATAAAGTTAGGTGGCTGGTAAAGTCTCTGACAAATCCATTGTTGGTAGAAATCCTCCTACCTGACCTTTTGAGATTTGAAAACTACCAATTCCTTTGACAAGCTCTGGCATCCCCCAGTGGTGTTAATGTCATCTGGCACAGAGCAACTTCAAACGGAAAATAAATTACTTAATTTTAAGTGAATAATAAAGCTGGATTTACATTGTGGAAGGATATCTGTTTCCCATTAGCCCTAGATGTGTTCTTCAGGAGACAAATTGCAGGGCAGTGAGTCTACTTGTCAAACGGCACTTCCTCACCTCATACTGAGTGATGCTCACTCGCCAGTGTTGGGTAAAGCTTTCCAACAGCGGTGGCTAATCTGTGTGTGACAAAAGATATTTTTGCTGGCAAATATCTTATTTACAACTACATTTAGCTAACAAAGCAGTTTTTTTTATTTTTGTGCTCAGCAGGTAACGTTTACCAAAAGCTAGAAATATTGTGCTCTTTTAAGAAATAATAGATTTTACATTGTTGTTATAACTGCAGAAGCTTAAGTTTGAGAGAATGTTTTAGCTGGTGAAGTTTTCAGTATAGTACTTTAGCAGATCAGCTTTGCCAAACAGAAACTGGCAGAAATGTATTTAGGTTTGGACAACGCTTATGAAGCAAATAGGAGAAATTGAATTGAAAAACAGTTGACCTACCTGAGAGCATGGCTTATATACAGTCTCAAGTCAATCAATTTCTTTACAATCAATCTATGAATAAAGTGGAAATCACAATTATCCCACGGTCCTAGCAATAACTGCAGCAACAATTCATGCTGCACACTTTGGGTGACAGCAACACAAATTATTAATAAATGATGAAGCTTCATTAGAAAACCCTGATAGAAGCTTCAAATGTAAACAATAATTCAATTATGTTCAATTATAATTTACACACGGCATCTATTTCACGTCTGTCCGTCCTGGGAGAGGGACCCCTCCTCTGTTGCTCTCCCTGAGGTTTCTCCCATGTTCCCCTTTAAACTGTGGGGGTTTCTCTGGAAGGTGGTGTCGTATTGTCATACTGATATTCTGTACACACTGTGAAGTCCACTGAGACAAATGTAACATTTGTGATATTGGGCTATATAAATAAACATTGATTGATAGATGACATTGATGTTCAGCCAATCCAGTGATCCGAGGAACAATCCGGTTTCACAACGATCCTCCTTTCAATATAAAAGTGTGTAACAGCCAACAATCTGAAAGAAAAACTATCACTGCCAACAACAGGCAACCACAACTCCAATCCTTTCAGACCTTCTTGTGCAGAATTAAAATATGAATGCTTTAAAGAGCAATTTGCAGGTTGTTTTTTTTTTTACTACATTTATGCTTAACCTTGCCTGAAAATTACAATTAAAAAAGTTAATGCAGGATTTGATATGTTTTACAAGACATAAGGGCAGGAATTCAGAGGAAAAGGAGCCGTTTTGAGCTCTGCTACTAATTTTTTTTTAACGTCATACACGTCATATTACGTCACATGGGGAAGCAACTTTCTCTAACTCCTTCTCTGTCCAATCCGCGCTAGTAGTTTGTATTTTTTCGGTAATTTTACATTGCATTTCACCATCTGTAATCATGGTGAGCTGGAGTTTGTGCGGGTTGCACAAACTCCAGCCTGTCAGTGTCAGGACATCGAGTCCGCAGTTTCCCTAACAGGAAAAGGACCGGAGCTAGCTTTCGTTCCTGGGTGCGTTGTGCGAGGTGCATCCACCTCCCTGCAGCACATACTCTCCACAGCTGAAGCCTATCAAACAAAACGTTTATCAGGAAACCGTATTACATCTCTCTCCCGCCCTTTGTTCCTCTCTCTCTCTCTCCCCCCCCTCCGGTATACAGCACCGTAAGACGTAGTGTGGAGTTGCATTAGGTAACGCGAGATACGGCTGATACTTGCGCATTAGTTTCTGTTATGGATCAGTATCAACAGTCCTGCCAGTAACGTTACTATATTATCAATACTACTTTAGTTATAGCCTGATATAGGATTGCTAACTTTACAATGTTGTGATTTGACTGACGTTAGCTAACATTAACTGTAGCTAACGCCGGTCTCTCACCAAGACAGCTGCTCTGTTCTCCACACACCAAAGCTCCATTTCTCGCCGATGGCCGTTATTTCTTCTAATCCTTGGCTGCTCCTGGTCTCTTGGACGCCTAGCAGGCTCATAATTATAATCATATGCATTCGAATATCCATGTTCAACCTCTTCTGTGTCAAAACTAGCATTGTGATCCATGTTTATTCATACGTTAGACCGGCCGCTCTCCCCCATGTCACGTCACACGCGGGAGGTCATGTGGGGAGGCTTTTTTTATGCGGAAGTAAAAATGTCTTACAAAAATGACGCCAGATGTCACTGTCGTGTATATTTCGGTATATTTAAAAAAAAATCTAGTGTATTCATCATTTTCCTACACATTTGTTCACTGGTGTGTCTAACCTGCAAGTTGCTCTTTAAGACTTGTCATGTCCTGCAGTTACTAAAATGATTGATTCCCTTATTGCCTTTGTGTCAGTTTCTTGACAACTTCAACCAGTTCCTTAGCAGGGAAGATCAGTTAACCATCTATTGGCTGCTTTTATTCCTTCATGTGATCATCATCATCATCATCATTATCATCATCACAACAACAGCACCAAGTGAAAACATCAGTTCCTTGCTTGTTAAAATCCAAATCATTGCACATACATAGTGCAATGCAAAATGTACCATCTCTTTTAAAGACGAAGTGAAGATAATTTCTGCATTTTACCTAAAAACATCACATTTGTTTGCATTGTACCTTCTGCTGCGGGAGAAAAGGTGATGCCCTCTCTCTCGTGGAGCGGCAGGGCGCTGAGTCTGGGGATATCGTCTGGCACCAAGGCGCGGGGCTGACCCAGAGCCACTGCTGCTGCCCGACACACATGTTTGATCCTCGGCCCACCTAGCGGCTGCTCCTGAACACAAACCAAGGAAAATGTAAAATGCAGAAATGTTTGTAAACAGATATTGGCAACACTTCACTATGAAATCTCATCTGAAATTAAACTCACAGTAGGATACAGTTCCCATTGTGAAGTGCAAAGGTTAACAACACATTTAGCAAACCTTTCCTAATGTCAAATAAACTTTATAATATGTTAAAAGTTTATAGCACTGTATGATTAATTTGAAGCACTCAATATTCTGTAAAGGGGAACCTCACCAGCAAATCAGATATGACAATGACATGACATTAATATGTTTAATTTATTACCTCAGAATTTTTATCTTTGGGAGATAAGCCAACTCTCCTCCTCCTCCTCCTTCTCGTCACTGGCACTCGTGATTCTCCTGAGCCCAACTGTCGGCCCAGCCGAGGAGGGGAAATCAAGGTTTCATGTTAGACATGCTACAACATTTCCATTTCCAAAATTCTCATTTTGAGAGCCTGAAAACCGCATCATTGACATACCGTTTCAGCCTTAGGGATTTTAGTGGCTTTTGAACTATCCATAGTGTAAAAAGTTAGGGAAGATTGACTTAAATGGGGACATATTATGCTCAATTTCAGATTCCTTCTTAAAATCAAAATGTATCTCTATTCAACCTGTCTGAAATTCCCTCCTGCAATAAAGGCCAGTGTACTCAGATAAAAATTGGGTTTAAGTACTCCGATGAGAAGTATATTCAAATGAGCCTGTATGCAACTCAAAAAGGGTATCCAAATCTGACTTGATCTTTGGTTCTTACCTGCGACATCTTCAGCTGCTTCTGCTGATCAATTTTGATGAGCTGAACTTTGGCTTTCTTCAGCAGGTGGAGCATGGTCTTATTAGCTCCACTGAGACCAATGCGATAGCTGGGACCGCTGACTTCCACCGCCTCATTGTTCTCCCCGGGAACGCCTCCCGCTTCATCTGTAGCTAAATACATTAATAAAGCAACTCTGGTTAGATTGTGCACAACCAGACACATCATCACTGCACAGCACACAAACTGAAAACACATAGCCTATGCATGGATTCTATTTTCAGGCGTAGAGATTTGTTTCATTCTCAGGTAAATCTTTTAAGATATATACATTTCACAAATGAGTGCTGTAATGTTTGAGCTTCTGTAAAAACAAGATCTCTCTAAATAATAACACAAACAAATTCTTACTGTTGCTGCCTGTATCTCCTGGCGGCGTACTTGAGGGGGCTGCCACATCAGCATTCACCAACACGGCTAGTTTCCTGACAACACCCGGCGCATCCATCTCCTCCATCATGAGCTTCGACCGCCGCTTCTTCCTGACGTGAGAGGTCAACCCGTCGCCACTTTGTTGATAGCTCCCTTCAGTGTCTGAGTGGCCTTTCTTTTTCTCCGCCAGTTTCAAGGTCAGTTTCTTAAGGTTCTTGTAAATCTCGAGGTGGCTCGTGCCTGGCCTGGGCTTTGATGGGAACTTTGCAGACGGGCTGTCGGTCACAGATGTAGAGTCACAGTCTGACTGCAGCAAGTTGCCATCATAACTCGGGTCATGGTATGATGGACTTGGTTTTCCATCCTCTCTCTGTTGACTCTTCTGCCATGTTGCCAGAGAACCCTTCGGAAAGGGGATAATTTCCTCGTCCAGGAACCTCTTTGGAGTTTTGATGACGCGGGAGGACCGTCCACTCGTTACAGTAGTGGAGGTGTTGGGGTCACCCTCAGATGGGGCGATACTCTGACTCTGCAGCTGCTGCTGCTGCTGGTTCCCACCCGGAGTCAGTGGGGCTGGAATGGGCTCCGTTACATAGGTGTAAAAAACATGCCTAGTTCGAATACGACAAACTTTCGGACGTCTAACTTCTGGTGAATTGTTTGGCTTCGGCTTTCGCTTGTGCCCATACAGAGATTTTTTGCGTTGCCTTTTGAGTACTATTTTTTCAGGGGAATCTGTGGCTTTACTCTTGAGTGGCATTGCTGCTTCGTCTCCACTCTGGGCCTCAGCTCCGGCCTCTGGAGAGGCACCCATACCCTTAGCCATTCTCTTCCTCTGCCGTTTCTGAAAGGATGTGAACGACAGAGCTGCTGCTTGGGAGGTGCGTCTGGTGTGCCCAATCCTGCGTTTCACAGATCTCTGTGGCTGAGATTGGTCCGTATCTGAATCCTCAGACACCTCGCCTGGTTCTTTGACCTTGGAAGCTTGCCTGGTGCCACCAGCTGAGGTAGCGGCTGTTTGGTTTCGCATGTTGCGGGAGTATGCTGATTTTCCTGCTCTCCTAATAAAGTCTGCTGCTCTTGTACTGCTCTGTCTATCTGAGGCCTGCGCGATTGCATGTTTGGCTACTACAGTAGGAGCTACCTGCTTGCCGCGCAGTTTAATCAGCATCTTGGGTATATCTTCGTCTTTAGATCGGCTCTCTATGAAACCATGGTCTTCTTTAGGAAGTCTGGACACAATTTTTCCAATAAGAGACGATTTTGGATTCTTAGGTATAATTTTTCCTAATAGAGGCTTTACTTCCAGAGAGCGGTCTGAAGCTAGGGGAAGCTTTGCTCGGCTGAGTAAAGACGACCTAGGAGCTTTCTGTGGACTACCTGTGGTGGTCCCAAATCCAGTGAAAACGTCCTCCTGAAGAAGAAAGAAAGTACAACCATTAAATTGACATAATACATTTAGACATGTTGAAAATAAAATAGGTTTGCTTCAGACAACTTGTTTTTACATTAGGCATTAGACTGACCTACACACGATCAGTGTGACAAATAAAACAAAATGTAAGGGCCAACTTTTAACCAAAATGTCAAAAAAATCTGAACATTTGAACATTTTCCAGGTCACTTGTAATTATTGCTGTTTTCATTGTGAAAGTAAACCAGATTACATGACTATTTATCACTCCCCAACAATATAAATGAAATATATGATTCGTTTTTGAAAATACTCTTTGCTAGATCAAATTTAACAATGGAAGTGTCCATTGTTTTTTGTGATAAAAATGTAATTTATGTTAAAAAAAAAAAACACTAATAAAAACTAGGTTTACATTTTGCTCCTTCTTTTCTAGGACAAATATAAATGAAACATTTTTTCATTAATGTTTATTATTTTTAATCTGTCATATAATAATCAAAGCCCTGACGGAAATAAAGCAATTTATCAGCAATTGAAACACAAGAACCACACATCCAAAAGTATTTGGCTTTGAAATATATAGAGATGATGAGACATCCATATAAATGACATAGAACAGATATAAACACAAAAGAAATAAAAACAATTAACAGTCACTATTCATAAAATACAGTATATCCGAAAAATATATTGATGAAGTGACGCTGCAGAACATCATGTGAGTCAATGGGCAAGTCCGTTTAGGAAACACATGATCTACAGAACTTCTTCATGTGTATAGCACAGATGTACTTGTTGCAGTTGCTGCATGTAGTCTGTGTCTTGGAGTCCTTTGATGGTCCACAGACCTAACAGCTGGCTGTGGTGGTCTTCTTGCGGCTGGCTGTGGGGGTCTTCCAGCAGCTGGCTCTGAGTCAAGTTCATCTTCCAATTCGCTGTCAAATTCTGAGTTTACCTCCACATTATCCTCATCTTCAGAAATGTCTTCCTGTTCCACTTCACCGTGTTCTTCTAATGCATTCCACTCACTCTCATCCATTATTAGCTCCAAGG